CTAGTAAAAGCTTCTCTTTATCTAATTTTATCTAACTTTATCTAACTTGACAGTTAAATAAAATCATTTCTATACGTATATTTAATTTATTTTTGTTTTATTTTGCAATATGTCATTTTATGTTCTCGCTGAGTTTATTCTCTATAATTAACCGTGTATTATTCAATTTAATTGGTCGACTCATTAAATTATTGCGCAATATAATTTGTCAATGTGCGAAATTGCTACTTAATTCGATAGTAGATTTCCAATGAATTAACAGGTTAATTTAAACTACATAAACTTAGATTATTCGCCACAATTGTTTTGTGCCATAATTAGATAATTAGTGCACAATAGAATACGTTTGGTAGTACCAGCACATCCTCTTTGCTTCCACGGGTGATTCCATCGCCCATGGATGTACGCGTATGCGAGAGAAAGAGGGAGGGGACGAAGGCGAGAAGTATGGGGTGGTAAAGGGAGGTGCTGGCTTTCAGCGATCGCAACCCCCGCGGCATCGTAAAATATCGGAAAATTCATTAATGCTCGATCTACGGGGCATAGTTGAATAAATCTCACTCTCGGGCAAGATTTACAGTGGCAGAGAAGAAAACGATATGACGGCGTATCGAATATGTGTAGTGGAACGTAAGGAGCGCATTTTCGCATTAATATTCAGATTCAATTTCTTAGATAATCCACATTGGGAGAGCGACAAAAATTGTAGGCAGAGAGAGAATGAGAGAGAGAAAAAGAGAGTGAGAGGGAGAGAGAGAGAAACTCTGTGTAATTACGGATCAATTTTATACGAGAAATAAATTCAAGTCGCAGATTCGTCAAACATTTTAACTGATATTTGATCTACGTCTGGATTTACAGACCGATGGCACACCCCTCTGAGAGAATTAAATATTAATTATCGTTATCTCAAAGGACGGTTATTTGCCTTTCATTAATTGCGCTTCAAAGAAATATCATATGAATATCCTGCGAGGTTTCGTTCGCTCGAGACGCAAATTCACGTAGCTTTTGCGGAATACATATTTTTTTTATGCGCTTCTGTTTGCGCATCTTGATTCGCAGTGATATTCGCGTTTCATGAGAGATACAGTTGCATATCGGATAGATTGTTACACGTTATACTCTTGGTAACAAATATTCTTTTCGCTCTCTCATTGTCTCGCTCCTTTGATCCAACGAATAGCTGACTGCGAGAGAACTGTCCAATATGCACTTAATTAGATCATACTAATTCGACTGAGGAAAAATTCAGTTGATCCGTCGCAAGTACTCGGCGACTGGACCAATCATCTCCTTTTTCTATCTCCGCACGATGATACAACAGAGCTTCCCTTAATCTCATCCTAATGACGGGATTGCACGATCGCGAAGCACATTCAGGAATGGCAAGAGAAGAAATCTCGGTTTAGGTAGAAACTCTAACAAGCGGGAATCACTTGGTACTCGGGCATAAAGTACATATGTATGAATGCATCGTCAATATAATTATACGTAGTTTTGCGGGGCACTGAGCACAAAGTGCTGCGAGTCGCCACCGCCCTTCCCTCTC